GTATATATATATATATATGTGTGTGTGTGTGAGTGAGTGTGTGTGTGTGTGTGTGTAGCTTGTATGCATCATCCAAATTTGAATTCGGCTTTTACAAAAATGATGTTGCATACACGTCATACATCACCGGACCAATCTACCTGCTTAGTCTCAGCGACGACATTGTTGGTCGGCTCGGTAAAGCCGGCAACCTCGGAAACGGGAGACTGCACCTCTTCCTCAGCAAAGAAGGACTGCTCTCGCCCTCGTTCTCAGTACCACTGCTCACGGGTTTCAGGCCCAATGCACTGAACGCTTCAGTCGGTGTAGTGGTGTTTTCTGAACCAATACTGCTTCTGGGTGTGCCATCTGAGGTGGCTGTCTCACGATGCTGTGGGTTAGGTAAACAGGGTTTATCGTGTTAAAAAACTTGGTTTACAAACGCTAGTTGTACTACCGGAACGTTTTGGGTTTATAAGCTTGATTCAGCATTGTTAACTATGATAACACAGTGTAATGAGTGTACCAGGTTTATTATAGTATTAGAACTTAGTTTAGTTAAGCCAATTATACTCGCGTAGAGCGCTGTGTGTGGGGTGTACTAAGCCCAAACTGTAAGGCATGCTAACCCTCATATTATTGCTTACACAAGTGCTAATGCTCAACATATTAGTTCAGCCCAATTATGTGAAAAGTTTGTGAAAGTACCCAAAAAACCTAGGTTTATATATTGCATTGACATTGTACGAGGACTTATATTTATCTCGGACCCTACTATTTATAGAACACATGCATGAGCGCTCTCATGTGACACCAGGGTAGGGTATTACCTTGGGGTTTGGGGTTTTAGGGTTACTAAAACACTAAACAACATGTAGTGCAGACGAGAACAACATGGCCCAGGTCAACCAGGCGAGATATGTAGGGTTCTGGGTTTTAGAGTTTCAGGTATATCTCCACAGGTTTTGTACAGCTACACCTGAAATGATACTATTCTCATTTTTGTACTACAATGTCTATGTCATAATAATACATAAAACAATATCAAGTCCACGAGTATAGTCATCGGATACCGTGTCACACACATTTATACTTGGGATGTCTGTGTCTGCATTGGATTTGAACGGTTGGTTCTCTCCGTCGGAGGCGATGGCATTTCCATCAACGTCGTGCATGTCTGTATGAAAAGAAAAAGACGGAAAACAATTTATTTTATGTGTGCGTAATGTTTGAGTGTCTGTGTAAATTGGACATAAGAGATTGATTTGGATGTGCCAAATGTTTGAATGTCTGTGTAAATTGGGAAGAGGAGATTGATTGTGTGTGCGTAATGGTTGAATGTCGGTGTAAATTGGGGATTACAAAACAATTCGTTTTGGTTTTGGTTTTGGACCAAGACATTGCGTAGAATGGCAGGCCACCACGGACAGAGACGATACTCTCACGGATGATATGCGTGGCTAGTTGGATCTGGAGAGAGCATTGGTAGACTTTACATGTATAGACTTTATCATCAATACATATTACATAATATATATATATATATATATATATA